CAAATTTGATTAACAATTACCATTAATAAATAATAAATAATTTACAACAGATATGATATTATTGCATCAGTTGTTACCTCCATAAATATAAAGAATTAATAAAAAAATTTAACTTTTTCTCTTGTATTATTTTTATGTGTATTTAAGTAATATGTAATATGTCTGACAATATAATAAGTAATATGTCTGATATAATATGACGATATAATATGATGGTATAATATGACGATATAATATGATCTGATATATGACGATATAATAAGTAATATGTCTGACGATAGAATAAGTAATATGTCTAACGAAAACTTTTAATCATACTCCAACATTATTATATTTTGCTTCTTCAAAAAGATAATGATGCTTATAATAAAATCAAAAAACATTAAATGGTTTTTCCATATTTACAATAGTTTTAAATGTTACTAAAGTCAATTTATTTGGCAAGTTTAATCAAAACTATCTAATAGTAAGTTAAAAAATTATTAAAGTTTCTCGAATATATTCCTGACCCCAAGAAAAACATTTGATCTCTTTTATTTAACTTAAGACTCTGCGAGGAAAAACATTCGATCTTTTTTATTTAACTTAAGACTCTGCGAGGAAAAACTTTAGATCTCTTTTGTTATGCTTATTAGTGAAATTTAGCATTGCATAATTTATGGACAATCCCTTATCAAATCATTATACCAAAGAAATTTACTAACACTTTTTTTGCTGTTGCTTTTTCTATTCTTTATTTTGAGAAATTCATAGAAAACACTATTATTTTACCAAGTTTTTAAATTATTAATTAGTTTTTTAGATTTGTCCTAAAAGCTAATTATAATTATGATAATTACAGCAACTATAATTTTATTGTAGTGAAAATTTTGTTATCTCACAATCAAACAAAATGTAGTATGCAGAATTTAAAAAAAAGGCTTGAAATAAAAAGATAATTGAGTTTTTTATCTCCCTTCTTCCTGGGGAAAATAAAAAACAAAATTGTGCCCTTTAAAGTATTTTTAAATATTCTGTGATTGTTATAAAGTTAAAATTTTTAAAAGTTATTTATTTTTTTATCTTTTAAGGAAAAAGATGTTTTTAAGCTACTAGATCAATAAAATTAGCCAAACATGTTTATGTCAGATTTCAAATGCTAAGTTTAATAATGACATTGGAAACTTTGTCGGTACAACTATTGATGAGATAACTATGAAAACCTGTTAGAATTGCCATGGAAACCATCAACTGACTACAAAATGCAGCATTCAGTTTACATTAAGAAAAAAAAATGAAGCAGGAAGGTGTTTTTTAAAAAACTATAATAAACCAGCAATGGATATTGAAAACTCTGTTTACAATATCCAAACACTCAACAGCTTCAACAGGTTTTAAAAAATCATCAATGATTGACACCTATTGTTGAAACAATTATATTTTTAGGAAGCCAAATATTCCTTTTAGAGGCCACAGAGATTATGGCAGCTTATTAGACATAGACAATGACGATTCTGATGTGATGACAAATGAAGGTAATTTTCAAGAGTTGCTAAAATTTAGAGTAAACTGTGTTGATTTAAATTTAGAAAATCATTTGAAAACAACTAGAGCTTCTGCAACATATATTAGTAAAACAACATAAAATTCTTTAATTGAATGCTGTTGAGTAGAAATATGTGATCATATAGTAAGTTGTTTTAGGGGATCAAATTATTATCCTATTATGTTTGATGAAACGACTGATGCATCACATCAGTCACAAATGACAATAATATTACTCTATTTGGTGCCTGATGAATCAGTTTGAGAAGATTTTGTTGGATTTGTTAATTTGTACAATCAAAATCATCAAACTAAAATAATGCATCCATTTACAATGAACCTATTCTTGTCGGCAAAGTTATTGGTCAATCGGTTATAAACATGTTGGAAAAAAAGTTATACCTTTCTTTAGGAAAATGTATCGGTGTGGGAGCAGATGGTTGTAATGTTATGTCGTCATTGCAAATAGGAGCTGTAGTTGCAATTCAAAAAGTTGCATCAAATGCTGTTTGGTGTCCATGTTATAATCATGCTTTAAATTTAACTTTATCCAAGAATTCAAACATACAAGCAATAAGAAATTGTTTGGGGATTATTAGCGACATTGTTGCTTTTTTCAATGCTTCTGCAAAACGAAATTTCATTATATAAAAAAGGCTAAATTCACAACTGCTTTCACTCTTTGATATACAATTGTTTGAAAGATATTATGCTTTGCTGACGTTTAGTGTTGAGCTTCCACAAATAATTGATACACTGGACAATATATCTAAATGGAATGACAGAACATCTTCATCAATAGCAAGAATTTTATTATTATCAATTAGAGAAAGTGATTTTATTGTGTCTTTAGGCTTTCTTTAACAAATGGACTCAGTCAGTTGTTTTAAAAAAGTTTAGATTTACATAAAGCAAAAAATTGCATTAAAGACCTGTTAATTGTTTTAAAACATAAAAGAGAAAACTGTAAAGAAATGTTTAAAGAAATTTTTAAAGCTGCAGAAAAAACAATAATTGAAAAAGATGGTAGCTTTACCTAGAAATGAACAACAACAGAGATTTTGAGAAAATATACCTTCAGATACAATGGAAGAATATTACAAGCAATCAATTTACACCCCTCTACTTGATGCATTGATAATGGACATAAATACATGTTTTTCTAATGAAAATTTACCATGTCTTCAAATCTATGCTTTGATGCCAAAAAATATTATTACACTGAATCGTAAAGATATTGTTGAAACTCTTTCTGCAATCAGTCTATGGTGTCATTCATGGACTTAGTATCCAAAACTAACCTGCACCCGAATTTACATCGGAAGTTGAACTATGGCAGTGCAAATGTATAAGAATGAAAGATGAGGGAGGAACCACATTACTACCTACTGATCTTTCTGTTGTTTTTGGTTTATGTGACCAGGAGCAACATCCAATCACTCACAAGTTGTTTCAAACTATCAATTCATGTCCTGTAAGTGTCGCCATTCAGGCTGACAATAAAACATGTTATTTTTAAAGAGTGTTGAATTGATGTTGTAAAAAAGTTATAAAATAACTATAAAACAAATTGACAAATTATTTTGACAATATAAAGAGCTTGTGTTAATGTAAAACAACTGTTTTACATTAACGATGTGGCGCTGTTTTATTGTTGTTTTATACAGTTTATAAAATTAATAACAAAAAACATGATTAAAATAAAACAAAGTAAATAAATAGAATTGTTCTAATTAATAAATTAAAAAATTATCATCATAAAACGCTAAACTTCATATTTGCGCAAACACATGAGTAAGATCAAAACAAAAAAAATATAGGTACCACATTTTTTATAATTTATTGTTCCTTGATCTAAAGTACTATTAAAAATTTAAGTATAATGAACTTTTTCATTCAAATGGTTTTAAATGCTGATGTTTTCATATGTTTTGCAATAAAAGTGAAAGAAAAAAAAACTGGTTTTATAAATCGAATTATGTTTCCGTAAGTATATGCTTAAAATATTTTTTAGAAAAATTTTTTCAACATATTTATATTAATCTTTTAATAGTATTGTTTTTATTAAAAAAAACAATACAATAATTTCTTTAAAATCATTTAAAGTTTATAAAAATATCACCAATTAGTAATGCCATATATAATATACTAATATAAACTATTTAATTAAATAGCTTATATTATTGCCCATATTATATACTAATATAAACTATTTAAATTTTTTATTTACTTACTTGATTTGGCAATACTTTTTTGGTTCAAAAAGATATTCTTGTTTAATGAAAGTTCTTCTTCTAATTTCAAACAACTTTTTTGTGAAAGTTCAACATTGATTTTTGAAATTCTTTTTGAGTTTATTTGCACTTCATTATTTTCTTTCATGTTTTTTGTTTCACAACTGTTTTTTACACAAGCTCTTCTAACTTTTCCATTATTAAAGTGTGTTGGAACATGTCTTGCTAAACCATTTTGTGTTGCAAAAGAACCATCGCATCCATGTATAACACACTTAAAAGGTTTTAAATCAAAATGCCTCAAAACATGAGTTATTAACCATTTATAAGAAGAAGAGGGTTGGTTGAAAAACTTACAATTCTGCCAAAGACATGTAAATGTACATTGATTTGAGTCTTTTTGAATATGTTTATTTTGCACGTGCCTGACTAATTTATCAGGTAAAGTAAATTTTTTTATACAATCTGCCCATTTACAAACAAATAATTTCCCATAGTGTGTTTCGTTTTGTCTATTATTTATTTTATGCTGCAAATGCGTTAAATCAGAATCTGAAGAAAGAAAATCAGAATCAAGAGTAACAATAATTTCAAGATCTTGATTTTTTACTAGTGTATCATGCAATTCTAGGTTAAAATTAACCTGTTCATATTGAAAATCATAATTTTTAATAAATTCTATTCTTTTACTAGACTCTAAAACATACATATTTGAAGAAACTTCATATTTTTTAGAAGAAACAGATTCATCCAATAAAGAGTTTAATTTATCTGCAGACAAACAACCAAATAAGTTATTAGTATCAGAGTTTTGATATTTAGAAAAAACATAAATATCTTTTTGTGTATTTTTTATTAACATATCACTCTTCAGCTTGACATGTTTTCGATTATGTAATAAAATATTTCTACTGACGATATTGTTAACATCATGTGGTCTCACAGTATTACAAATTAATTCACTAGAATTTATCACTGAAGATTTCTTGAAAAAACTTTCTTTTTTAATAATGTCTTTACATAAATATGATACACTTCCATTTTTAAGGGATTTTCTTTTTAAATTATCTTTGCACTTGAAAGTTAAGTTGCTTTTAGTATAAGTTTTACTACTTCTTAAACTGGTGTAACATTGGCGTGGATTTTCATGAGAAGTTCGTAAAATATCCAACTTTATATTACTGTGCATAATCCCAAAGTTTGCATATCAATTTTTGATTTTACAATCCTTTATATACAGTATAAAAATGCATATATATATATATATATATATATATATATATATATATATATATATATATATATATATATATATATATATATATATATACAATAACAATAAAAATAATAATAGTAGTAGTAACAATAATAACAATGATAATAATAATAATAATAATAATAATAATAATAATAATAATAATAATAATAATAATAATAAAAATGACTATATTAGTTTGATAAAATTGCAAACTTTTTTTTTACCTTAAAAAAAAAGTTTGAGTCATTTATATATAAACTTTATTTTAATTTAACTTAAATTAAAATTAATTTTTTCAATTAAAATCTTTAAAATTAAATTTAAGAGTCATTTTATTATAAAATGACTCTGAGAGTATGATACGCTTTTGCTACTGTAATAAAAGCTACTATTGCTGCTACAATTTGTGGCAATAAATATTTTTATTTCCATTATAAATATTATACTCGTAAGCTATTGTGAACAGATTAAATCATTATGTAAACAATTTTGATAATACTCCAAGCAAATCGTGCAGCGATTGAGTCTTTAGGATGCATTAATGCTTACGGAAGTGTTTGGCAACATGATCCGTTGCGGCAAAACTATAATTTAATGAATCGTATTTTGTGCGCGGATTTTTGGTACCTTCCTTTTTTCCTTTTATGAATATTTTTAGTGTAAATCTTGTCGTTTGGGGAAAAAAAGAGGGGGTTTTAATCATTTTATCATTTATATTTAATCGTAAAAGTTTTTTTACTTTAAAAATTAAATTTTTAAACACTACTCAACTTTTAAATGAATATTATTTTAAATATTATTATTTTATTTAAATAATATTTAAATAAAAATTTAATTTTTAAACACTACTCAACTTTTATTGTTAAAACTTAATCAAAGAGAGCTAGTAAATGTTTACGTTAATAAAAGAGAGCTAGTAAATGTTATTGTAACAAAATCTAATACAGTAGATTCAACAAGGTCAAAAAACGGCCAATTTATCAAATTGGCCGTCTATCAAACCGATCAAAATTCTATCAAAATTCTATCAAAACTATGAAAATATCGAATAAACTTTTTAGGAATTTTCTGAGTTATTTATTTTTGAAGTTAAAAATTAAATTTGACTTCTAGAGCTAACGTACTAAATCTTTATGATTAACATCTAAATGACTTTTTTAATGACTTTTTTTATTTTGTTAATGACTCAAAGACTTTTTAATGACTCTTTTTTTAATGGCTTTTAAGTGACTCTTTTTAATAAAATCTGATTACTAGTTCCAATGTTTCTGCAATCTGAGTCCCGTGTTCCAGGAGTTTGTGCACAGTTGGAGTTATTGTATACCAAGAATACTTATTGGCTATAAAATTTAGTGTCAAGTTCAAAGCAAAATAGTAAAAAATTTGATTTTTTTTAAACTTTCATTTTTTTAATGTTAAAACTAGTTTGGAATCTGATTCTGTTTTAATTTTTTCAAAAAAAGATTTTCAGTTATTAAAGTGCTCCTTGACTTATCGGTCTTATCACAGAGAAGTTCACGCCTCCTTCCATACTATTTTGATTATTTGTTTAAAGCCAGCGTCAAAACACGAATCTCTTGTTTCTGAGCCAAAACTCTAACCACTGCGCCACAGTTGTTTGAACTAATATAAAATCGCATATTAGTTGTCACTTAAGTCACAGTCCAAAATATTATCCTTTGCAACGTCCATAGTAATAATTTTATTTTAATTTTTCTTAGACATACACTACTTTTGCTTATAAATTACATCCTAAATGACTTTATTTAAGCTTTTGATTTTTGAAATTACTTCTGTCTGGAAAAGCTCAAAAAATAAACTTCGTAGTCATGTATAACACACTGAACTACTTAAACACGTTACTCATTGTCTTTAACTTTTTATTATAAGTAAATTTATTATTTAAACTACTATAAAATCTATATAATAATTAAGACAAATTATAAATAAATAACATTTTTTCTTACTATTTTTAGTAAGTAGATAAGTTTTAAAAAAAATTTTTGGTAAAAAAAAAGTTTGATAATGGGAAAAATGATGTGACAGATAAAAAACAAAAGGAATTGATAAAATTGAAAATTTCAAAGGGCAACTGATTTACTGCGAAATTCAAAGCAGAGAATCTGCATAAGTGCAAACTGGCATAAAAGTGAACTGGCGTATGTACAAACTTGCATAAGTACAAATTGGCATACGTGCAAAACAATTGAAAAACTCTTATAAGTGCAAATCGGCATAAGTGCAAATCCTATTCCAATGTTTGCAAATTCTTTCGGCAAACTTATGCCAGTTCGCACTTATGCCAGTTTTTACAACTTCTTTGCACTAACGAGAGTTTGCACTTATTTCAATGTTTGCAAATTTATTCGGCGCATTTATGCCAGTGCGTACTTATGCCAATTCGCACAGATGCCATTATTGCAACTGCTTTGCGCTTATACCAATGCTTGCAAATTCTTTAGGCACATTTAAGCCAACTCGCATTTATGCAAGGTTTTTGCAACTATTTTACACTCAGTTATGAAATTTGAATATGGTTTGGTTATCCAACTCAATTTTAATTCTTGGTTATAAATTATCCTTGATGTAAAAAAAGTTCAAGCATGGAGCTATGCGATTGTTTAAAGTATCGCTTAGCAGGTAAAATAAAAGTAGAATGCTCTAACCAATGCACAGTGGGTCAGATTGCCCATTTTTGTGGCAAAAATATTTTTTTTATTAAATATTACTAAATTAGCTTTAAATAACATATCTGGAACTTCTAAATATATTTTTGATTGAAGAAAAAAAATTTATTAATTGTCTTTTAATGTAGAATGCAATTTAAATTTTTTTTCTTTCAATCAAAAATATATTATTACGAAATATTTTAGAAATATTTTTGACTAGACTTATATTCCCTGGTAAATTTTTAAATTTTATTGTAAAATATTTTAGCGTTCAAAAAATATGAAATTATACTATGAAACTTAAAAATTTTAAGTTTCTTAGTATAATTTCTCAGCGTTCAAAAATTATGATCATATAAAATTTGCAACCCCCTCAAAATGAGATGGTTTAATTTGGTCATATTTTTTGAATGCTAAAATATTTTACTATGAAAATTAAAAATTTATCGAGGAATATAAGCCTAGTTGAAAATAGTTTAAAAAATATTTCATCAGTTTGTTGCTCTCACGTTTGGGGCAAGGAGGGGGGGGGGCTAAATTTTAAGGTTTTTTTGTTCCCAGGCTCCAATCATCGCAATTTTTTGCAAATCATCTTTATTTGACATAAGCATAAACATATAAATGTTTGGAGTTCGCTCCATGTCTGAAAGTTAGATATCTCGAAGACCAAAAAATGCTGGTGCTACCCCTGCTTTTATCTAAAAGTTATTTTTTAAACAAGGAGGAACTTTGTTGAGGCTCAATTTTGAACCAATTTTAAAATATCATATATATACTTAATAAAAAATTTAAAGTATTTTCAGACTGGAGGATTTTGAAGGTTTTTTTAATTAACTAAAGAAAGTAAAAATTTGCACTCAAAAAACATATAAAAATACATCAAATCAAATCAAATCAAATCAAATCAAATATATATTCTGAATAAAGTTGTTACATCAAGGATATTTACAAATAGTAATTTGTACTAATATAAAGTAAACACCTGTCAAAATAAATAAAAAACAAGATGGAGATAATAATAATAATTATAATATAAGTAGGAATAATAAAAATGTGCATCAACTTCAAAGTTAAATAAAATTTCTTACTTACGAGCAAAAAACTTGCAGCGAAGTTCTGTTGTTTAAAAAAAGATAAATCTATCAATATATATATAAAAAAAATAGCGCATATTTTTTAATTCATAAAACAATTTACAATTTATGTGTAGCAATTTATATTTTTAATTAATTTTTGTTTTTTGATTTACAAATCGGAAAGAAAATTTCATCTTCAACAGGTCGCATAAACTTTAATTTAAAAGCTAATGACATCGTTTTATTAAAGCTTTATAAGTATCATTTTTCATTTTGGCACACTTTGACCCATTGTGCAATGAGAGCATTCATTTTGGCACACTTTGACCCATTGTGCAATGAGAGCATTCATTTTGGCACACTTTGACCCATTGTGCAATGAGAGCATTCATTTTGGCACACTTTGACCCATTGTGCAATGAGAGCATTCATTTTGGGCATGAACAACTGCTTTTTATATAAGGAGGGTTGGGTATAAACTACGGGATGGTATACTTAATTTGTAGATATGGCCAAAACTTTGCTGGTTTTTATTGTTTTAATGCACTTATGAATTTGGCAACATTATTAAATGACTCATTTAGATTTGAGTTTTTTCACTTGTCCTTTACATGACACAGTAACAACATAATAACCATTTTGTAGTAAAAATTTAAATATTTTTTTCAAATGTTGAACTGCCCCACACACAATTTTACTGGCAACAAACTTAACACTCTTTTTTATCTTACTTTGTTATAGTTTTTGATGTGACCTCCGATAACATCAAAAACTAAAACAAAATATAACAACAACAACAACAAAAAAACTATAACAAAATTATAGTTTTTGATGTGAACGGAGGTCACATCAAAAACTATAACAAAATAAGATCAAAAAGAGTGCTAAGTTTGTTGCCAGTAAAATTGTGTGTGGTGCAGTTCAATATTTGAAAAAATTATTTAAATTTTTACCACAAAATGGTTATTATGTTGTTACTGTGTCATGTACAGGACAAGTGAAAAAACTCAAATCGAAATGAGTCATTTAATAATGGAGTTTGGGATTCCCCAAATTGTCGAAATCAACTTTCTGTAAATATTTAACATAGATATTGGAGCTAAAGCTGAAATCAATTTGTGTGAGAGATTAAAAATGTTTTCAAGATATTATACTAACTCGGGATGTCATAAACTTAACAAAAAAGGATAAAAGTTCAATTACACACAGTTGAGTAAATAATGTCTGTTGACTTCGTAA